GACGTACTCTGCACCGTCTGTAACTCATCGTTATGGTTCCTAGAAGTTGAAACCAAACCCCAGTATGTTCCTAGTCTGTGTTTAAGCCCTTAATACATTATTAACATGGATTTAAACAAAGAATTATGCAATTAAAAATCACGTTTTAACAGAATTTTTAAGCATATAACACATACTGATAAGTTTCAGTTTAAGCACGGACAGAGCATGTGTTTAGTTGATTTAGTTAATCTTAGAACTGTTTAAAAATGTAAAGAACACGAAACCTAATGGAGAGAGTAAGGATAGAACTTGCCTTATGCCGACGTTCGCCTCAATTTGCCGTCGAAACTCTCTTTGTTTGCTCTCTATTCTCCTTCCCAGCCTTCTCCAAGTCCCTCAGCCCTTACTATATCGTAATAGTTTTCTAAAACCCTAGTCAGAATATTACTTGAATATTTATAGGCCACTAACCTTAGGTTCAATTAAACCCTAAACATAACCTACTCAACCCATAAAGAAAACTAGGTTAAAACTATGTCGGTTACTTATGTGTATACTATATATGCAACCAACCATATAGTCACATTAAAACTAAATAAATTTAATTAAACCAACTCAACTAAAGCAATTAAATAATTAACTACAAACAAACCAATGAAATCAAAACAATTAATCAACTAAAAGAAAATAATTAACCAATTAATCAATTAAAGTAAAACAAAAATCCAGTTTAAATAACCATTAAACAATCACATAATCAATGCAACCAAACACACAAATAAATAACCAATTAAATAAATTAAAAAAAAATGTAATTAAACAATTAATGAAATACCAGGATTAATTAAAAAGTCAATTAAAATATAAATAAAACAATTAATGAACAGAAAATAATTAAACAAAATACCGAGACTATCCTTTTGAAAATTAGGGGTATTACAGTTGCCCCCCATTCCCAAGCGTGTTCGTCTAGCTTTGGGAATGTCAAATTTTTTTTTCTTGCCTTGGGAACAGTACCCGCAGGTACTATTCATATGAACAGTAACAAGATTTTTTTTTTTTTTCTTGCCCTGAGAATAGTACCCGCTGGTACTATTCCCGCGGGTTACTGTTCATATGAACAGTAACATGAATTTTTTTTTTTTTTTTTTTTTTTTTTCCTTAGTACTCTTCCCTTGGGTAATAGTCCCTGAGGATACTATTTGGTACCCTTGGGTACTCTGCCCCTAGGTACTATTTGTAGTAACCTTGAGTACTCTGCCCCTGGGTACTATTTTTGGTATTCTTGGGTAATCTTCCCTTGGATACTAGTTTTAGTACCATTGGGTACTCTGCCCCTGTGTACTATTTTTGATACCCTTTGGTACCTTGCCCTTAGGTACTATTTTTGGTACCCTTGGGTAATCTTCCCTTGGGTACTAGTTTTAGTACCCTTGGGTACTCTGCCCCTAAGTACTATTTGTAGCATCCTTGGGTACTCTGCCCCTGGGTACTATTTTTGGTACCCTTGGGTAATTTTCCCTTGGGTACTAGTTTTAGTACCCTTGGGTACTCTGCCCCTGGGTACTATTTTTAGTACCTTTGGGTACTCTGCCCCTGGGTACTATTTTTAGTACTTCTGGGTAATCTTCCATTGGTAAAAGAATAAATTGTACGAGCTTCATTCAGTTTATCATTTCTTTAATAAAGAAATTTTACGAGCTTTACTTAGCCCGTCCCTTTAATAAGGGAAGTAGGTTTTATGAGCTCACTTAGCCCGTCCCTTTAGTAAGGAAATCATGTTTTACGAGCTTCACTCAGCCCGTCCCTTTAGTAAGGGAATCATGTTTTACGAGCTTCACTCAGCTTGTTCCTTTAGTAAGGGAATTAGGTTGTTTTGTTACTCCTTTGGTAAGAAGTTTGTAATATGTTCAAGTTTCACTCAGCATGCTCTATTGATAAGGGAAATAATAATACATGACACTTGTTATCATCCCTTGTAATACGGGGATATTGATTACAGGATTCTTTCGGCTCGGGTCCTTATAATACAGGACACTCATTATTGTCCCTTGTAATACGGGGATATTGCAACTTTAATAAAGGGTTATTTTTTACGAGCCTTACCCAGCTCACCCCTTTAATAAGGGGATATTTTGCCCAAGCTTTATATGTTTGCCCTTTAATAAGTGAGTCAAAGTTTTTCACTTTCGTGGACTTATCCTTTATGCTTGCCTTACTTTGTGGCTATGGTGGTAGTGACTCGTCAAATTTGAAGTTCGTATGACTAAGCTTGGTTCCAGGTTGAAAAGACCATCATTGGTGCTTGATGGTTAAAAACCTCATGGGACTACCTTGGACATGGTGGACTCATTGATTGTAGAAACTTTACTGGACTTAGAGTCCTTCCCAATGTGTAGAGACTTAACAGGTTATGGTTTCAGAGGATCGGGCACTGGTCTTGGACGACTAGTTTCCCCGAGGTGTCACTGAAGGAGAGAAGCTAGAAACCCGACTAGCTCGATGTACCAAGGTTGGTACGTCGATCTTCTAAATCTTGTCATCATATGTAAATCGACGATTGATATTGTGTGATCCACTATTCTGCCCCCGATGGTAGGATCTTGGGTGATGACCCATTCTGTAGACGTTTATATAGCGAACGGGGTGCCAGGTGCTGTAACAATTTACAGTTATTAAAATATTAGATTATGTTAGAAATGATTACTGAAAATTAATCTGCCATGGATTATCACTTCAAATTCTGCATAATCTGAAGTCGATAGGCAATTCCTGCAAAGGAAGAAAAGTGACGACTGTCGTCTGGTAGGTGGAGGCTTTACTAGTAGATAGAAACCCCCTTGTTGGTAGTGATCTTCTTGATGGGTGGAGACCTACTCATTTATGTAGGTGCAGAAAAATCAGGCCTTAGTCTTTAACGATTAGGCCTTGGTAGTTGGCTGCTGCCAGATATGAGATAGAGTTTGGTCTTAGACTACCAAACCTTAATAGTGAGGGGACCAAGCATCGCTAGTGGAAAACACCACATTGGACTGCCTAGGTCGACGTGCCAAATTTTGATTATTGTCATCGTACACTAGGTGGCATCACGTAACCCACCGTTTTGCCACCAGTATGATGGACGGGTAATCATGATGTAGAGACCTGTCCTTATATGGAAACCCGTTGTCAACTGATGTCTTTGGGATGGTTTCCATGATCGGAAACTTTCGTCTTGTCGTCTGAGCCAATTCATGTCAGGATTATTATTTCTTCAGAGAACTAATCGTTCCCACAGATGGCGCCAGCTGTTGATGCAGAAATTCTCACGACTCGGAACGACGTCATTTACCTGTAAAACAAAGGGACGTCATCTCGAATGGCACCGGTGGGGTGCCAGCCAAGAACCCTCTGACGATCAAGTTAGTCTTTGTAATCGTATCACATAATAATTATGTATATCATGTTTAGGAGTTTTTTCTTGTACCTTTTTTAATGGCTTGGTGCCCTATATATGGCTGTCAATTGGAATCAAATTGATCCCGCGGGAGATCTGCTTGTGCGAGATTAGAGGAGATCGTTTGTTGCCAGATTTGTCGAGGATAAGATTTACTTCTTGATTTTCTCAAATTGTGCCAAGGTTATCCTCACTCTGTTGAACTACGTCGTCATTCATTATCCTGGATAAGAAATGCCATCCTTCTTATCCGAGGAAAATCTTTTATCTCTGATAACGAAATATGTCCAAGAGGTTTGGCAGCTGGTCAAAGTAGGTTATTTTTCCCTATCAATGACTATGAAATTTTTTTCAGAGAATAGTTTCAAAGTTACAAACCTAAATTATTTATTATTATATTATTTTTGAAAAAAGAAAAAAAAAACCTAATTATTTATGTGGTTACTTTCTTTTAGATATGCTATTCTCTATTATTACCATACTATCCTCTAGACCTTTCTAAGAAACTAAAAAATCAACCGGCTGAAATTTTCTCATCAGAAACCTCACCCCTTTCTCTCCCTAAAATTTTCTTTATTCAAAGTTCATATCTGATTTTTTTTAGATCCTTTTTCTTTGTGTTCAAAGTATAGCTCTACTTTTCCAGATTAAAAATGTATAATTTGGTTTTCCTGTATCCCTTCTTCTCTCTCTCTTAAACCTTTTCTCTCTTAAAAAACACTAGCTTTCAACTTGGTTTTCAGATCCAAAAAAGGAAAGAAAAAAAAAAAAATCTGATGAAAAAAAAAAACACAGATTTTTTACTTTTTTTTTTTTTTCGTTTAATTGATTGATTGGGTTTTTTTATTGCATGCGTCTTCTGTCACTATACCACGGAAGATGCTGCAGAAAAAATGGATAGTTTTCTTTTCATTTCTTTTTTTTGGAAGGGTGTGAGGACAATAGAGTAATTACAGAAAATTAGAGCGAAAATAAAATGACGAAACTATTCTTGAAAAAAGAAGATACACGCGTCAGTGGTTAAAGGAGACTGAGATACCACAGTCCCGCTGAATGGCAACCCTCAAATTAGAAACCCTACATTCATTCAAATAAGTTTTGAGGACGCGACTGCAGAAGGACAAGTTATGGCGTCCTTCATCACCACGCCACTGACCCCTTGTATCACCACCAGCCACCTGAAAAGCAGAGCCAATTGAGCCCAAACACAAGTTATGGTGTCCTCCTCCTCATGGCTACACAATGGGTCTAAATCTGCTCCTCCTCATGCCTATGTTGTCCACCAACATCCTCTGACCTACTCTGCACCGACATCTCCCCCATCGCCTCCTCTTGTTGAGATCAACCTGACGTCCTCCACAGCGCACGAACTACACTCCCTACTCTCTGTCCCCTCGCCGAAACCCTAATTCTTCGCTGCTGCCACCCTTTTCAGCAAAAGTGCGGATATTTATACACCGTTGATCGAAAATTGGGGTACAATGAGTGGTCGGAGTAGTGGCAGTCGTAAATGGTGGGTCGTTGCTGCAAGGGGTGGTGCAAATTTAAAATATATATATATATATATTTTAAATTAGCATCCAATAGGCTACTGACACGACGACTGTCCTTGTGCAGTCACCATTGCTCATAAGTTTTAATTTCAGCCATTAGATTTAAAAGCATCTCAACCGTTGGTTTGTAAAAGTTGAAACATAATGATAACCCTATAAGGTTAGATCTAGAAGCCTGCAGCAGGGCGTGTCAGATGTGCTAATTCAGGACCACCACCACACGAAGAGCCCTCCGCATACGAGATACAACATCCTCTGACCTACTCTCTCAAAGACGATTTTTATGATGCGATCGCGAGTGCGAGGCATCTGCAGTGCGAATCTACTATAAGATCTTGTAAGTTGTGCTTTCATCATTAAATTTGTTACTCTTTTTCCTTCTTGTAGATCGGATTTCGTGATCGATCGATCACGTTAAAACTTAAAACTGTCTTATAGTTTTCTTAACGGATTTTTTTTTTTTTTTTTAGAACAAGTTATCTTTTATAATTTTATAAAAATTTGTGTTTTTTTTTTTTCAAATTCTCGGAAGATGCTTCAACACTCGCAAAGAATAAAACGTCATAATATTCAGTCTAAGCTTAGATATCATGTGAAACAATGATGACTGTTGACGCCTATTATTAAATATATATGCCCTGCAGCAAAAGAAAAACCGGTGACTATTCTATTTTTGCTACTTGGACGCAAAAAAATTGGAAAATTGGACCGGGCCTTGCCAAATAATATTATTATTACGTGATATGTATATATATACACATATATATAAATGGGTATCAAGTCGACTTAATCCTAATAAAACACAGAAAACGTGTTATTATTTCCGTTAGAAACCCATTATTACTTTCTAAGTTGGTATAATGTCTATAAAATTGGGTCGGGCCGGGCCGGGCCAAATATTATTATTATTATTACGTAGTATTTTTTTTATTTTGAAAAAGGTTAAACGGGTATCTTGGCCTAATCCTAAGTAGACACGGGAAATATATTATTATTACTTTCCAAGTTGGTGCAGACCCAAGTTATTATAAAATCGATCTCCTCTTCTCCATCGAATAAGGCTAGCAAAAATTGGTCTTGTTTGTTTTATACATCACAACAACAAAAAAATGGCTCTCTTTTTCTGGCTTGTTTGGGTTTTATATCTCTGCAGATTTTATTTGTAAAATTATGCAGAAAACTGTAAGTTCAAATCCTTTGGAGAAAACCACCTCGGTATGTTGTGCTCAAAACCATCTCTTCAGTCGGAATGGGATCAGTCGGCTGCCAGATGAAATTACTGTTTCAGTTCTGTCTTTTCTGGGAATTAGAGAAGCGGGACGCACTTGTGTACTCTCAAAAAGATGGGAACAGTTGTGGTCATATCACAGGGTTCTAAATTTTGATGCTTCACAAACAATTTTTGATCTTGAATCGAATCCAAATCCAAAGTTACTGAAAGTAGAAAGATGTAGGTACATAAATTGGGTGAACAAAGTCACGGAGTCGCATTGTGGTTCAACCATAGATGAGTTTAGAGTTTCTTTTTGTTTGAATAGATCTTCTAGTTGTGTGATTGATAGATGGATTGAGTTCGCGATAGCAAAGAGAGTTCAAAGGCTTGAGCTGGACTTGGAACCAAGTTATTATATCGATAGGGGTAGAGCATATACTTTTCCAAACCCGATTTATATTCACATCAAAAGTCCTGCCGGTTTATCCAGCATTAGGTCCCTAAGATCACTCTGTTTTAAGCGTGTGAACATCAGTGGAGAGATTCTTGAATACTTCCTTTCCAATTGTCCTCTTCTCGAATCTTTACAAGTAGACCAGTCGAGACATTTAGTGAATTTAAAAGTTTTTGGTTCCTCACTTCGGCTGAAGGTTTTGGAGATAACCTTCTGCCCTAAACTGATGGATGTTGAGGTTTCTGCTACCAGTCTTGTGTCATTTAAATATGTTGGACTGGGCCAAGCAATAAATATGCAAATTAAGGATGCATTCCAGCTTGCTCACTTGTCTTGTTCGGATTTCGTTGTGCCAATAGAACGTGTTTTTTTCCAGTTTTCAAGCTACTTTTCGCAGCTCGAGACTCTTTTGCTGACCATTAATTTTCGTCATTTCCCAAAGGTTAGTTGATATTTCTATTGCAATTCTCTGTCATGGGAGTGAAAGTTATTACCATAGTGACCATTTTTGTTATTATTATTTTTTTTTGGTAAGGATGACCATAGTGATCATTGCTTGATGCTATGTTAAAAACTTGGAAGCATCAAGTTCTAGAAAATAGATTTGAGTCTGACTGCAAATATTTTTTGTACAAAATTATACCAAATGTTAGGTCTTGAATCTTGATCGAGTCGATCCTCCCCACATCACACTTACTAGGTAGTGACTTTTTAAATATTTTTATTAATATTAAGTCATGCTTTTCAGGCTAATGCAGCATTCGAACAGCTTCCTGAATTTAGCAAGCTCAAGCACTTGACATTGCAACTTGTAGCAGATAATTTTTCAAAACTTCTCGTTTGGACTACCTTGATAAATGCATCACCTTTGCTGCATAAATTTGAATTGCAGGTAATTATAAATTTTTTTATATGGATGTTTTGTATAATGACAGTGGATAATTATTTCTGGTGTCTCTCTCTCAGCAATGGCCATGGATAGAAGTCACTTGCATTGGATAATGGTCTTTTTATATGAAGTTTTTAAATTTTTACAGTTAAAATTGTAGTAATCTATATAATTGGAGGTCATTAAAAAATAAAAATAAAAATCTGTGTAGGATCCATCATGTAAATTACAGTGCATCATATATCTACTTGAAGTCAAGGTTGTTAAAATCAGGATTCTACGCAGAATCGTTTTGGGCTCCGTAGATTCGGAATCGTAGAATCGGATCGTGACTCGTAAGATTCTACCAAATTGTGAAAAAACAATTGAAACTAACTTCTTAAATAATAAGATCTGTAAAATATAACAAAAATGAGGCCAAAACACACAATATTACATATCCATGAGTTCACAAATCTCAAATCCTAACAATATTTCAAAATCCGAATATAAATAAAAGAGAATTTAGTTCAAAATAACACGAGTTTACAAATTTCAAATCTTAACTTATCCATATCCAAAGTTAGAAATTAAAATTACATATCAAAAGTAAACTTTTTTTTTTTTTTTTTTTTCAAAAACTGAAGAAATAAAAAGACCTTTTTGTCCACCAATTTAAGTGTTACGGTGTATGTGACCTTATTAGTTACAAGTATGAAATTAATCAAGAGTTAGCACAACAAAATTAATGAATCACGCGTTAACTTGATCTCATTATATTATTAGTTTAGACTACAAGATTATACATTGGCTAGCATATCCGGCAAGTCTTTTAAGCTTTTAAAGTATTTTTAATTTTTAATATATATGATAAGCCTTCAAAAAAAAAAAAAATTAGTCAAATGAAAATATTGATCATGAAACCAAAATTTGCCTAAACCTGTTAGTCACGAGTATGCATCATTAAGATATAATTGATTATTTTAATTTTTTATAATTACATCGACATGCATGGTAAAAATAATTGATATATATACATATATATATTTCTTTTTCTGCCACTAATGAAAAATAATTTATATTTTATAGAATAAATATTTAACTTTTTATACTACACTTGGGTCAGGCCTCTTTTATTTTGTAGCCCAAAAGAAATCAACCAAAAAATAAAAAAAAGTCCAAAAATAAAGGTCCAAAAAACCAATTTCGTAGAATCGGTAGAATCGTGTAGAATCGTACGATTCTACCTCCAATTCTACCGATTCTACCCCTGATTTTATTAATTGAACAATTCTGTTGCGATTTGACTCGATTTTGAATTCTGAGTCGTAAAATCGTGCGATTCTACGACTCAGAATCGCGATTTTGATAACCATGCTTGAAGTTGAAGGACATAATCGAAAAATAAAAAAACATATTACAATTGAAATATATGTTGGTCTTTGCTTAATAACTAAATCTCAATTTGTACTGACGGAGTATGTTATTTTATTTTATTTTAATCTGTTATAGTAGTTCCATAAAGAAAGGCATGAGAGGGTCACAACCAATGCATATTGGATGTAATCAGGGCAAGATAAGTTGAGTGGGTAGTTCATTTAGTATTTTGTTTGATCTGTAAATCCAGCTAAGATTGAAAGACAAGTTTTATAGAGCAACTAATAGACCAATTGTTTTTTACAGGATAGAATGCTAGGCAATTAAGAAACAACATATATATAATATGAATGGGGCAGTCATCCGAATGTCATGATCGATGTGCGGAAAAGAAAAGACAGAATTAGGACTGAACAGATTCATGGGACGGTTAAAGTGTTAAACTAACACCAATTGAAGACAAAATGAGAGATAATGTACTAAATGGGTTTGGACGTGTGCAAAGAACAAGACCACTAAGTGAGTGAGTTAGGAAGAATGACATGATTCACATTGACGGTAACGTGGGGGAAGATCAAAGGTAACATGTATAGAATTACTAACGAAATATTTGATAACATGTAGCTTGAATGAGAGTCTGAGATTATGACTTTGAATAAAGTGGAATTGAAAATTTGGGATGAGCCGACTCCAAGTAGTTGGGAAAAAGACTTTGTTGAGTTAATTTGAGTGTAGTGCATCTATTATATATGACTATATTTAACATTGATTTATGTACTAATAATTGCGTATGTGGAAGATGAAGGTTTATAAATATATCCTTAACATTTACATATATGCAATGTTTTTGCTAATTACCTATTATATATTTTTAGTTACAATTATATTCTTGTCCAATACTAAAAAGTGTCAATTGCATCTTTTTATATATGTTGATCCTGTTTCAAAATTTGTTAGGGATGACTTTTTTTTTACATATATGCAATGTGTTAAACAAGACTTGTTTTAGTCTAAAATAATGAAATTTAATTTTGAGTTACGGACACATAAATGAAAGAGATACTTCCTTTTAGTGTCCCCTACGACAATATTGTTTCTCAATGAGTTGGCACGGCTGTCCATGTAGGTAATTACACTATGTGAAGTGTTTGGTACATTTTTAAAATCAATTTAGCCTTGCTCGGATTCTGGAATCAACGTCCTCTTTTGATTACAACTTGATTTAGCAAATATGTAGGGTATTATACTTGTTTTTCAAATACTGATTTAAGTTTCTTTGCTAATGGCTAGATGCTGATAAATTATTAATGATAGTTCTAGTACGATAGTAAAACTTTAGCCACAGAAGTTCCATTTCTAATATCTCCTCTCTCATTTTTTGGTGCGGGGTTGAAGAAAGACTTCATAGAGTTGTCTACTACTATTTTTAGTGTGAGGAGCACAATTTTTTTGTACATGGAAACTTTAACATACTGCTTTAATGTAAATCTGCTATAACTAAATTTAATTATTGTAAGTTGTTAATCTTTAATGAAGTGCTTGTTTGGATGTCATAACTGTTCCATGAATACTTCGTGATCTGCCCCTGTTTTCGTCGCTGAGTATCACTATGCGTTGGGACAGCTTTTGATTTGGCTGGTATATTTCCTTGAGTTTGAAATGCCTTATTTTTGTGCATTACCATTTCCTTTACAGACTTTAAGAGTATTGCTATAAGTCTGTGTTCTAAACCAGCAGGGAAATATATATATATATATATATATATATATATATGTCTATTACAAGTCTTTATTTTATGCCTTTTGGTAGTGGTAAAAGTTTCATACATTCAATTATATATATATATATATATATATGTATGTATGTATATATCTCCTTCGGTTACACTCCTCGGCTAGACAAATAAGTCTAAATAGCGTTACTCATATTTTAAACAAGCATGATTCACCACTTTTCTGTTTCACAGATAGATTATTTGGGACCTCGTGAGAAGCAATATGAAAGAAAAATGCTTGAAGGTGGCAACTGCCCCCATCAAAGCCTAAAGGAGGTGGAATTGGCTGGGTTTTGTGGCCGAGTTATTGACCTCGAGTTTGCCCACTACTTGATTAAGAATGCCGTCACAGTGGAGAAGATTATAATTAATCGTCATTGTACAATTCGTGCTAGCAGACCAAGACCGTGGCTGTTTGAGGAAACCAAGGAGAAACAATATGCAAAAAAGTGTGCTATGGAACTCCAAAAAAGTCTGCCCTCGAGAATAAAAATGGAAATTATTTAATCTTGCTCAACTGCATTTCGTTGCTGCTTGATGTTTAGTTTGTTCGTAGTTCTAAGATAATAAGTTGATTATTAGCAATTTGTTTGTACTTCTAGGAGAGTTTCATGACTGTATCTTGTTCGCGCCTTTTTCTAGCTGGGGAAGGATAGGTAGATTTCTCAGAGTTTGAGTTCGTTTATTTCGGCGGAGCTTGGTTCTGTTCCCCGAGAATTAGCTGCTGTTTGATAAAATTTGAGGGACGGAGGGTGAGTGTGGGGTTACTTGCTGATGTAATAAATAAATAAAAATTCTCTTAATGTTTTATAAGCTGTTATTGAAAATAGAAGTGTTAATTATAAATTCATAATGATTTGAACTTTAATATTTGGTGCGCAAAGAGTGGATGTGCCTTATTGGCCATCATTGGCCGCAAAACTGAAAACAAGAGAATCTTTGAACCAAATTCTTAAGTAACTTGGAATTTCTTTTTTTAGTAATTTTAATACACCACCGGTCTAGTGGTATTTTATTTTCTCTCTTATATATATATATATATATATATATATATATATATAAAATTTTATTTTATGAAAAAAAAAATATATATATATATATATTTTATTTTTATTTCTATACACCAACATCACGCTAAATATGCAATTGCATTATAAGATTTGAATTATGTGGCATGGACACATGCACATGATACGAATACATTGACAAGTCAATTTTTTTTAAAAATATGAATTTTTATTTATATATTAGTATTATTAAATTTTAATTCATTTGTAATTTTTATACTATGAGTTGTAAGTGGGAAGACCACAGAAGAACACAAAAGACCACAAAAGACAGCTTAAGGCTCTTAGGGGTGAGAGCAGGCTCCAAAAAGGGAGGGAGCCTGCTCCCAAAACACTAGAGCCAACTCTCTAGGGTTGAGAGCCGGCTCTCACCCATCTAGAGCCAACTCCCAAGGAAGGGGAGCCTACTTTCCTTGAATAGAAAAGGCTCTCTGTGTTTCAGAGCGTTCTCTTTCTCTTGGTAATGTGTAAAACTGAGTTTTGATGCTCTATTTGGCTGAGACTGAGGTTTCTAAAACTGTTTAAAGGCTTTTGGGTGATTTAATACATTGATTAAGACTTATATAAGAATTGAGAAGCAAGCTTACATTCAGAAATTGAGAATGGAATTAGCCTAAGATTCAAAGTAAACCTGTAGGAGAAAGGGTTGACATAAACTGTTAATGGCTTACTGTTTTGGGGATTTAAGTTTCTCTGCATGACTTAGAATTATGATTCATGATTTGCAGCTGAGTTATAAGCATTCTGTTATTTAATTATATGAATGCTTAGTTGGGATTAATTGACAATTAAATCTGTTATATATCTCATCTGTTACGACACTGTTTGGAGGAGGTAGTTGCATAGTTGGATTCTGTTAATTTAAAGGACTGGGATTTGGTTTCTAAATCCATTATTGGATGTATGATTCAGTTTTACACCTGTTAAATTGTATTTGTGCTTATTTTGAAATGAAGTTGAAAACTATTTAACTATTTTTGGCAACTATGGTAAATGGAGGATTGTATGCACCGGTATGGGACGGTGGCATACTAGGTAGAGATTAGTTCAGATACTAAGTCTACCTAATCTGGATTGAGGTTTGGATTAACAATAAAAGTTAAGTCCAACTTCTGTTAGTATCAGGTCAGTAAGTAACTGAATGACATAATTGGATTTCTGGGATAACTTGTTATACAGATATCGAGCCACTATATCAGATGGATGATATTTTGTATTAGGAGGTATTTATGTTATGATGCCATGGTATGAGCTTGAGTCTCATGACCATGGTTAGGGTGCGTATATCGCCTAGGATGGATAGCTGGACAGAGGTGTTGTTCCCTGGTAGGTCTAGGTACACATGACCACGTAATGTGCGATTTGCATGGTATCTCTACTTAGGCTAATACAGGCCTATTGGACTAGTGAACGTCCTATAGTGTGTAATATATATATATATATATATATATATATATATATATATATATATATATGGACTACTCTAGATATTATTGAGTCTATCTAAGATGTATCTGCGTATCGGATCCTTGTTTGGATCGTAGTAGATCAGGACTTGTATGCGGGCCTGACCCATTCCTTTATTATTTTCAGGTGCTCGTCAGTTCCAGGGTTAGAGCTTGGTCGTGCAGAGCAGATACAGACTTTTATTCCACTGACTACGTAGGACTGCTTACTTTTTAGCTTTGGATCTTATTTCAGTTATTTCATTTTACAATTGGGATTTTTATTTAGGGTCCACTAGATGGATTCCCGAGTTGTTAATTAATTGGAGGTTTTGGAGTTGGATTTTATATTATTATTTTGAGGACTTTCAGTTAGAGTTCTTTTCAGCCATTTTTATTCACTTCTTATTATTTCATCTTGTATTCTGTGTTCATTAAAGTATTAATTGTTTGATATTTCCCTCGGGTTTGGGCTGGGCCTGATCAACCCGTGTCTCGGATCCGAGGGGTATCACAGTTGGTATCAGAGCACTCCAGCTTCAAGTGTCTCTAGGATTCTATCGTATAAGACTTCCGCATAGCATTCTTTATTGTTTAGAGCTTAAGTTTAGGATTCTTTGTATTCTTTACGGTTTGGTTTAATCGTACTGATGTCTGTCCTTCTGTGTTGACAGAATGGTTAACGCAAGAACCAGACGGAACAATCAGTGACGAAGGGAAGTGGCCCGTAGGCAGCGTCAGGAGGATGAGGGTCAGTACTATGAGAAGTAGGAGGAGGTTCAGCAGACTCGGGATCGGGGAGGAGATCCAGAGTATCCTCCTCACCTCAATGACCTTATTGCTTGGGCTATAGAAGCAGGGGTAATAGCAGCACTTCGGAATCAGCCTCAGGTACAGCCGGCACCGTTACCAGCACCGGTTGTTCAAACTGATACTTGGGAGAAGGCTATAAGTTCTTTCATAAAGGGGAGCTCACCTGAGTTCACAGGCTCCACCGATGCGAGAACAGCTCACCAGTGGAAACAGAACATCGAGCGACATCTTCGCTTGATTCAGTGCACGGAGGTTTAGAAGCAGATGCTTGTTACCTTCAAGCTAGTTGAGGATGCACTGTAGTGGTGGGAGTCAGTTACCACCATCAAGGAGAGGATAACATTGATTTATGATGAGTTCAGTGTATGCTTTGAAGAGAAATACTTCCCTTATGCAGTTAGGGCAGCCATGAAGACTGAGTTTCTTAATCTACAGTAGGGGAACATGACAGTAGTGGAGTATGAGCAACAGTTCACACGCTTGTCTCTCTTTGCACCGGAGGAGGTGGATACAGAAGAGAAGAAGTGCAACAGTTTCGTCAAAGGACTGATGTGGTCTATCAAGAGAGCTATTATAGGTAGTCCAGCCTATACTACCTATGCTCAGGTAGTAGACGCCGCTCTACAGCAGTACCAGTTGACCGTGGACATCAGACAGGCCAAGGGTGATAAGCGGGGTGATAGAGACTCTGCTAACCAGTCAGCTGAGAAAGGGAATGGAAACGAACACCGACAGAATGACAAGGGCAAATTCTAGGGACAGCAGCCTTGGAAGAAGCACAAGGGTGGTTCCGATGCTCCCAGGGATGTGGCACCTGTTCAGCGACAGCAGAATGGGGGACCACAGGCAGGACAATGTCAGGCACAGGTTAACTGATAGAGGAGGCCATTTGATACTTTCCAGGATAGTTGCTATACTTGTGGAGAGTATGGTCACACTTCCAAGCAGTGTCTTTCAGCAAGGCAGGGACAGAGACAGGGACAGGGACAGCATGTGCAGTAGAGGCAGAGGACGCCAGTACCTTTACCAGCTCCATAGGTTCCACGGATTCCGGGACAGGCATATCCGGCTTTACCAGCGTCACCGCAGCCTCAGGGACAGGCACCGCAGCAGTTACATTATGGCAGGGTGTACAATCCCATGCCACAGGATATGCAGACACCTCAGGCTGTTGAGGGTAAGTTTCCTATACAAGGTTTACTTGGACGTGTTTTGTTTGATACGGGTGCTACACACTCATTTGTAGTTAGGACTTTTATTGATTTGTCTGGGATGACGACTCGGGTATACAGTAGACCTCAGGGTATTTCTACACCGTTGGGCGATACAGCCATTCTTCATGAGAGTGATGGGCCTGTGACACTAGATATTGGTGGACTTAGATTTCTAGCCAATCTATTGGTCCTGGACATGTACTTATGATGTGATACTCGGGAAGGATTGGTTGTCTTACTACCATACCCAAGTTAATTGTTTTGATAGGTGAGTTGTTTCCACCATACCTAGACAGGACATGTATGTCGCTGCTATGCCGCATTCTAATAGGGTCACCAGCACTTATTTGTCTCATGTGGAGGAGGAAACGGAGGAGGGGACTACTGTAGCATTGGATAACATACCAATTGTACAGGATTTGTCTGATGTATTTCAAGAGATTCCAGGGTTGCTGCCTAGTCGCGAGATCGACTTTGTGATAGACTTAGCTCCAGGCACTACGCCTATTACTAGGGCATCTTATAGGATGGCACCAGTGGAGATGCGCTAGCTAAGGGATCAAATTCAGCAGCTACTCAGCCAGGGTTTCATTCGCAGGAGTACTTCACCCTGAGGAGCGCCAGTGTTATTTGTAAAGAAGAAGGATGGTTCGCTTCGCCTGTGTATAGATTACAGGGAGTTGAACAAGGTTACGATTCGTAATAAGTATCCTTTACCCAGGATTGATGACTTGTTTGATCAGTTGAAGGGAGCTACTTATTTCTCTAGGATTGATCTGCGGTCTGGATATCATCAACTTTGGGTTCGGGAGTAAGATGTTCCTAGGACAGCGTTTCTCACTAGATATGGATCTTTTGAGTTTCGGGTGATGCCGTTCGGGTTGACTAATACACCAGCGGTCTTCATAAATTTGATAAACAGGGTCTTCAAAGCTTATTTGGATCAATTTGTCATTGTCTTCATAGATGACATTTTAATTTACTGGAGGTCAGAGGACGATCAAGCTAAATATCTGCGGATAGTCTTGCAGACGCTTCGTGAACACCAGTTGTATACCAAGTTCGAGAAATGTGAATTTTGGCAACGGGAGGTGAAATTTTTGGGTCACATGGTGTCAGAAAGGGGAATAGCGGTGGATCTAGCCAAGGTTTCAGCAGTGGTTGAATGGGGACAGCCTACTTCACCTACCCTGATCGGAATTTCCTCGGTTTGGTAGGATATTACAGAAGGTTTATCCAGGGATTCTTAAAGATAGCACGACCACTCACTCATC